CAAAATCATCAAATCTTCTATGGTCTTCCTTATTCAATGTCCAGCTTTAGCATGCATATGAGGTTATTGAAAATACCTTGGCGTGGATCAAGCACACCTTAGTCCTCAAGCTGACATCTTTGCTCTTCGACACTTTAAAAAGGGTTGCTATGTGTCTGAATAGATTCGACAGCATGCAACAACAACAATTATAAATAATAGTAGCCAATAGTTAATGAAACAAGTGAGGCACTGCTCTAAGTACTTTTTCTTTTATTTCTCATAATAATGTGCACATAAAAACAAGGACATTATTATCATCAATCAACATTTTTAAAGTGAAGAAATAGAAACGCTAAGATTGTGAGTAATTTACCTAACGTTACCCTGGATTTTTCTGTATCGTAAATAATTAGGAGTTCCTGTAGGGCTAGGTGTTGTCTGTTCTGGCAACACAATCTGGATGCGGTTCATGTAGACCTGAAAGCAGCTAAGGGATCAGGGTATTTCCATCCCAGAGGGGAGCCAAAGTTGAGAGGTCCCTTGAATCTAGGGCTGACCAGAACCAGCTCTGTAGTTCTGGAATAAGCCACACCTAATTCCAGGTGCTGGGGTTGGTGCTACTAGCTCCCCAAACATTTTGATGTGACTTCAGCAGCCCAGAAAGCAGGAAATTTTCTGAGAGTATACATGGATAGGGGCTGGCCACATCTGTAGTTTCCAGGGTACAAGAAAAAAATCACCTCTTTCTTTCCACCAATAAGCAGTATGCCTCTGTGCCCTTTTGCCTTCCAAGTCACTTGTAAAAGTCTCATTCTGCTGTCCATAGGGTTGCTATGAGTAGGTGCCAACTCAATGTCACCTAACAACAACAACAATTGGTGGGCTTGAACTGTCGACCTGTGGTTAGCAGTCCAGTGATTATCCTGCAGTGCCACACAACAAGAGATAGTGTGTACGAAGTATGGAACATCCAGTGATTACTTCAGCCACTCAGCCACAGAGATCTGCACTTGATAATGACCATGTTCATGTACTCCTGCAAGGCCACATTCCGTCCATAATAATAATATTGCTTTACATGTCATTAAGTGACTAGATGACATACTTGCCTATAGTTGGTCTTGGAGCAGGTGAGAGAAAGGATTTGGGGGAAAAGAAAAAATATTTTAAGAATCAAGGGCAGAAAGATGATTGCATCTTGCTTTGTAAAAAGTAACAATATTGGCATGTTAAGTGTGTTTTTTATTTATCAATTGCAAAGGCAAATAATGTTTTCTATTTTGCCCAACTAATAATAAGGACATTATATATATACAGTTTCATTCAAAACATGTTTATATAGTATACGTATATATATGTGTGTGTGTATGAGTATATGTAT